ACACACACACACACACACACACACACACACACACACACACACACACACACACACACAGTGAGCCTCCTAAGTTGCTGGGGTGGGAGAGAAAATACACATGAGACACACAGCTCCTGACAGCCCTTGTCCAATCAGCACTTCACATTTTAAAATTTGCACCGTTCTCGTGGTTTCTCCGAATCTAAAGACTGGCTGACTCTTTCCATCCCCACTGTCGGCATGAGTCTGCGCCAAACAGTTCCTTGGCAGCGGCCAAAACGAGGCAGACAAATGCTGTGAGCTCCTGCATGGAGAGTGTGGGCAAGATCGCGTGGCCTGGCTAGAGAGAGTCCAGGCCTATGGGATTTCTCAGAGGTCCCCAGGATTAACCTCTGGCTCTATCCCGTGGGAGTTGGTGGGCACAGAGGGGTGTCAGCGTTGACCCCAGCCCGTGGGCTTGTAAAGAAACGCCTCACTTCGGCAGCAGGCAACGTTTTCTGGAACACAGACCCTTTCCCCTAAGCACGCTGGCCATCTTTCCACTGCGTGGAGCGCAGCCTCGTGAGTCTACCACAAAGGACTGGGCTTGGGGGCGTGACAAAGGGAAATGCTGCCTGTGAGTCAGCGTGTCCTGGACTTCTCATGGTTCCCAGCAATGGCTCCCTAATTAGAGGATCCTGCCGCAAGGCCCCACTCATGACCACCAGCCATGTCTGAGGGGTTTTATTTCGGGCACCTTGCCGGAGGAGGCCATCTCATCCAGTCCCAGTGTTGTGTGTACCCTCCTTGGTAGACGGGTCTTCCTGTCTAACCAGAAGCCCTCTTGCTGTGATTTGAGATTAAAGTCAGCATTTCAGATTCACAGGTTGTAATTCTTCACAGGAAAGGATAAAAGAGAAGGTCACCTGTGAAGTCCAAGGGGCAGACCGTTTTGTGCTAGAACCTTTCAGAGAAGGTGACTGTGGTGGCCGGATCAGTCAAGACTATTTATTGACAGGACAGCCACAGGCTTCTTCTGGCCTGTGTACCCCTTAAAAGGAATTTTCCAGGTTCTGTCACGCATCAAGCCAGCCACTTCCCACCTTTCAGGGGCCAGACTCTATGGGGGAACCCTAGAAAACATCATAACTGAGCTAACAGTATCTGTTTTACCAGGGCGGTATTTCCCATCCTCCAGGCCAGCTGATCCGCTTTATGGAAAGGTTCTGGAATTTCCCTATTTCAGACAGAGCCCTGGATGGGAACATGGGGGGTGGGGTGGGATGCTGGACAAAAGCAGCAAGTGCCTCTTACCTTGGAGCAGGAGTAAACCGAGGATTGCTGAACCCAGCCGCATGGCCCCGTTGGTCCCCATATCAGCTGGGCGTGAGGCCGGCAGGCGTCTCAGTGTATTCTCTGTCCATAATGGAGAAGAGAGGGAGAGTGCTGGGAGGAGATGGGGGGCGGGCGGGGGCTGGCTCTCCAGGAGCTTCCTGTCAAAGAATAGAAGGAAACAGATTGGGACCGGCTCCAGGGGCCCCAGTTGAGCACACAGCCCAGACAAGGATGTGAGCCTGAGCCGCAGAGCTATGATGAGCACTAGCTGGGGCCTCTTTGGTCTCCCTGGATGCTGTGTACAATGACCAATGGTGGCAGTGTGCCCCCAGTGCCACCTTCCTCTCTGAGGGATCCCTCAGGTCCCCCCCTACAGCACCTGAATTTTTCCCCAAGCCTGCTGTTCTGGACACATTCTCCTCTCCGAGGACCCAGCCCTAAGCTCGACCCACCAGCGGCCCATGCTCTGCAGACTATGAATTCTCTACATTCCTCTCCCCACTCACGGCTCCCAGTCCAGATGGGACTTCCAGCATCCTTTAGGGAGGCCTTACAAGCAATCTCCTTATTCCTGGTAGAAAAACAAGAGGTGGGCTGGGCAAAGCTCTCAGTGGATAAAGAACTAGCTTGCAAGCTGGAGACTCGAAATTCCATCCCAACACCCTCATAAGAATCCAGACAAGGTGGCTGGCCTGTAGTTCCAACACTGCAGAGGCCGAGCCGGGGGAACCCCTGGGGCTCACTGGCCCTCTAGACTGATTGGTAAGCCCCAGGTTCCTATGAAAGGCCCTGTCTCAAAAACAAGTGGATGGCTCCTGGGGAACAATCTCTGTGGCTTGACTTTTGGTCTTTGTACGGACACTTGCACTGGTGTGCGCACACACACACACACACACATGCATACACACACACACACCCCACATATACACACACATACTACACCACACCACACACCACACACACCACACATACACACACATATATACACACACACACACCACACCACACATACACACACACCACACATACACACACACCACACATATACACACACATACTACACTACACCACACATATACACACATACCACACCACACACCACAAACCACACACACACACACACACACACACACACACACACACACACACCATGAGGATCACATGCCAGGCATTCCCCTTGCCTCCCTCGTCCACTTAGGTTAGGTGTTCCCTGTGCCTGGGCAATGCCTTGTCCTTACCCTCCATAGCATGCCCCAGGCTCTCACTTTCTCCTGAAGACTGCAGGCCAGCAGTATTGCTACACAAAACTGACCATATAGCAAGGCCCCGGCACATACTTATTGAATTAAGTCTAAAACATTTAAGAGTATGAGAAAAAATGAAGAACAGAGATATTTGACATACAATACTACTTCCATTTATTTATTTATTTAAGTTTTTTCTCTGTGTGGCCCTGACTGTCCTGAACCTCACCTTTTAGACCAGGCTGGCCTCAAACTCAGATCCTCCAGCCTCTGCCTCCCAAGTGCTGGGATTAAAGGCATACAACATCATGCCTTCCCTGCCTATGACTGACTGATGATTGATTTTTAGGCAGAACCTTGTAGGCAGAGTTTTCCTGTTCTGACCACCTGGTGTCAAATAAACACATGGAGGCTTGTAGTAATTACAAATGCTCGGCCAATAGCTCGGGTTTATTATTAACTAGCTCTTACATTTCAATTAACCCTTTTCTGTTAATCTATGTATTGCCACGTGGCTCATGGCTTTACCTTCCTCTACATGTCTTGCTTCCTCGGTGGCTGGCTTGAGTCTCTCTGACCCCACCCTTCTTCCCCCCAGCATTTTCAGTTTGGATCTCCTGCCTAGCTTTATTCTGCCTTGTTATCGGCCAGGCAGCTTTTTTATTAACCAATGAGAGTAATACATGTTCACAGTGTACAGAGGGATTATTCCACAGCAGGACCTGGTATAATTCAGCCTGGTCTGTAACTCACTTCGGGGATGATGCCACCCATGAGTTCCTAACCCTCCTGCCTCCACTTCCCAAGTGCTGAGATCACACGTGTGGGTCACAATACCTGGCTTTCTTATTTATTTATGTATTTATTTCATGATGTTGGAGGTTCAGGGCCATGTACAAGAGAGGTAAGCACACTTCCAGTGAACTACATCCTGGCCCTTGTTTGAGAGAGGTCTGTTTTTTCTCTTTCTTTCTTTTTTCTTTTCTTTTTGGTTTTTCAAGACAGGATTCTCTGTATAACAGCTCTGGCTGTCCTAGAACTCACTATGTAGATCAGGCTGGCCTCAAACTCACAGAGATCCACCTGCCTCTGCCTCCTAAGTGCTTTTTAGGGCCTGGAAATATGGCATGGTAGCTAAGAGCAGTGATTTCCCTTGCAGAAGACCCAGGTTCAATTCTCAGCATGCATATGGCGGCTCACAGCCATCTCTAACTCCAGTTTTGGGGAATCCAAGGCTAGGCATCAGGCATGTGCGTGCTACACAGGCAAACCCCCATCACATAAAATTGAATTCGAATTTAAAAAAATTAAAGATTTTATTGTCACTGATGTGTATTTGTGTGTGTCTGTGTGTGTCACATGTATATGGGTGTCCATGGAGGCCAGGAAAAGGTATCACTTTCCCTGGAGCCAAGTTAGAGGTAGTTGAGAGCCACCTGATATGAGTGATGGAAACCAAACTCAGGTCCTCTGGAAGGGCGGCAAGTGCTCTTAACTGATGAGCCTTCTCTCAAAACCCTGGTTTTGGTTTTGGTTTTGTTTGTTTCTTATCTGTTTTTTTCTCTTAAAGATTTATTTATTTGTGTTTTTAATGTGTATGGGTGTTTTGCCTGCATGTATAGTATTCCACATGCATGGAGTGCACTTTCAGGCCAGAAGAGGGCGTCAGATCTTCGGGAACTAGAGTTACAGATGATAGCTGACATGTGACTGCTGGGAACTGAACATGGATCCTTTGAAAGAGCAGCAAGAACTTTAAGCTGCTGAGCCATCTCTCAAAACCCTGTATTTTTTGTTTTGTTTATTTAAAAATTTGTTTTTGAGAATTTCATAGGTGAGTACTGTATTTACATCGTTCCCGCCCTTCCTCTTCCTCCCCGCTCCTCCGGTATTCTCCTGCTCCTTCTCAAACTCACGACCTCTTCCTCTCTAAATATTATTGTTACTTTATGTACATTTGTGGCTTCGTTTATTTTACTTTGTTGTTTGGAGACAGACTCTTACTCTAGAGCCCAGGATGGCCTCAAACGTCCTGTCTCAGATGACGTTTGACAGTGTTAGAAACAGTGGGGACCTGGGTTCGAATCCCCAGAACTCATGTAAAGCTGGGTGCGGTGGTGGGGTTCTATACCCAGTGCTCCTAGGTGAGATGGGAAGCAGAGTTCCCCGGAACCTTCAGGCCAGTGAGCCTGGCATATGCCACAGTGAGCAACAGAGATGCCTCTAACAAGGTGGGAGGTGAGCCTGACACCCGAGGTTGTCTCTGTCTCCACATACATGCCCACACTCACACACATGAACATGCACACCCACAAAAGTCCACACACATCATATACACGGAGATACACAAGGAAAAGCACATGTTAGTAACAGGTAAGAAACACACTTGTATCGAGTTCAAGGAAAAGAAAGGTTATTCCGGCCTCAGGAGCTGAAGAATACGTTCCAGGAAGGGGTGATGCCCAACTAATGAGGCCAGATGATTAGGCTTAGACAGCAGGGGGAGAGGGGTAGTTGTAATGGTGAGTATGGACACGGGAAAATGATGGAGAAGCCCGGGGCCAGAAAGTCCACACTCTTCCTCTCCCAAGCTCAGAAGTGAAAGTCTTGACTTGGGGCAGAGTCCAGATTCCCTCTGGCTAAGATCCAAGAGGACCAAAGTAGGAAGTAGATCACCAGAACCTTCAATTGCTCTGGGAAATGATCCGTAGATTTCATGACTCACCAGCAAGAGGCCTCGGTAGTCTGAGGGTCAGGTCAATCGCCCTGGACTCAGTGGAGGTGACAGGGTGTGGGCAGCTTGGCTAAGAGACAAGAAACCAAAAAGCTAATACTTACTGCTTCGAGTCAGTAGGTGAGGGGATCCTCTGGGAGTCTACTGGTCTCCATGTGAATAGAGGTCAGTTTGCCTCCAGCGGCAGGATGAGGAATGGCTGGTTATGGGCAGCAAATTGGGACCAAAAATTACCTTGGAAAAACTAGGCCAGGAGGGGTAGTGCACATCTGTAATTCCAGTACTCAGGAGTCTGAGGCAGGAGAATATTGAGTTTGAGGTCAGCCTGGGCTACTTAGTGAGACTGTTTCAAACAAAACACAGAACACTGGTTATGGTGGTATATGCCTACCATCTTAGCACTGAGTGATGTGGAGGCAGGCAGATTGGGGGTTTAAGGTCATTCTTAGCTACATAATGAGTTTAAGACCAATCTAACCTACATGAAACCCTATCTCAAAAACAAATTAATTAATTTAAAAAATTAGAGAGGTGCCTTGCTGTGGTGGCGCACGCCTTTAATCCCAGCACTCTGGAGGCAGAGACAGGCAGATCTCTGTGAGTTCCAGGCTAGCCTGGTCTATGAAGTGAGTTCCAGGACAGCCAGGGATACAGAAAGAAACCCTGTCTCAAAAAAACAAAAGAACACCGGGCAGTGGTGGCACACGCCTTTAATCCCAGCACTCGAGAGGCAGAGGCAGGCGGATCTCTGTGAGTCCGAGGCCAGCCTGGGCTACCAAGTGAGTTCTAGGAAAGGCACAAAGCTACACAGAGAAACCCTGTCTCAAAAAACAAACAAAGAACAAAAATAAAACAAAGCAAACAGAACCCAGAGAGAAGGGGTTGGAGAGATGGCTCAGTGGTTAAGAACACTGGCTGTTCTTCCAGAGGTCCTGACTTCAATTCCCAGCAACCGCATGGTGGCTCACGACCATCTCTAGTGGGATCTGTTGTCTTCATTGCCACAAAGGTATATGTGCAGATAGAGCACTCATATACAAAAAATAAATAAATAAATCTTTTTTAAAAAAAGAAAGGAAAGAGTGCCTTGCAAAGGAACATGTTTGGTTGGTTATCATAAGGTAAA